TTTTTTTTCGAAAAATTCAAAAATTTTTTCCTTTCCTATCATTCAACATTCAAAAAACAAAAACAAAATAAATATAAGAAACAATAAAAGTACAAACAAACATCAAAATCTTAAACAACACAAAAGTTAATTAGACTACAGGTAACGAAATATGAAAAGTTCGATGGTTATTCCAGATCTCGACACTGTTATTTCTATATTGAAACATGAAAATATTCTGATTTAGCAGGGTAGAGAAGCAACCGAATAAATTGTAATCGATTTGGTAGTCGAAATTTCAAACTTTTTACTTAATTTTTTAGTGACATACCTCTTCTTCAAATCAGGAGCTTTCGTGAACACTTAACTCTAAAAACTCCACATTGTACATAATCATTTGTGACATGATTGAAACAAAACAACACAGACTTAAATTGCGGGAAGAGATTTTGACGACACACTAGCAAACAAATTCAACTGGTGTGATATGGTTCCGTTTAATATTTGTGTGGTTTGTAATTTCCATAAAAAGTTTAAAATTTGTTGGCACTTTTTCTATTTTATAATGCATGTTTTATGCGGTATTATTATTATTATTATTATTATTATTATTATTATTATTTTTTTCCTTTCTCCGGTCATTTACTGTATGTTGCTGTTTATCACATCCCATTGGTAATTAAGTAAATTCTATTAAGTTGTTGTCATTGTTTTATTTTTGTATTGATTCAACAGGTGGTTATAATGAATACTGAGTCCCTGTGTATCAGTTCTATGATTTATTGTGTCATGTAATGTTATCTGAATCATTTCACTTATGCATCTTTTTCGGTACACGTTCTCACTATCCAAGATTGACGTATTGGAAAAATTAAAATTATGGCCTGTGTTAAAATGATGGCTAGAAAGGGCAGTTTTCTCATTTTTGTCTCTATTGTATTCTCTGCAGTCATACATATGTTGTTTTACCCTAGCTTTCAAATATTGTTTTGTGGTTCCGACGTAGCATTTTTCACAGTTGAGACAAGGAATCTTGTATACTAAATTAGAGCGCTGTTCATTTGGGGTTTGGTCTTTTAATTTGGAAAATAGGCTTGCAGTTGTTTTAGTGTTGTAGAAAGCTAGTTTGCATTGAGGTGCTTTTTTGCTTATGGTATGCTACCTGATTTTTGTAAAGGAGATATATGAAACGCCCTTGCGAACACTTTTTGATTCACAGAAGTGCGTCTTTTGTCAGAAGCGATCACAGAATCAGAAAATATGCCAAGTCATGACTAATAATTTGCAAGAAAAAATAAGAATGATATCACGAAGCAACCCTGTGTTTTTTGTGAGAACTGGAGACAACGACTTATTGCATCGGAAATAAAATGTCATGCCGCTTGCGTTTCAACGGAGTTATGAAATCTCTACAAAAAATCGGTTGGAAATACTAAGATTAAAAAAACAGACAATGAGGCATTAGGAAATGTTTTTGAGGAAATGGAGAGGGGTTTGGAAAAAGGTAAAAGATACACCACAAAATCAATTGGCAAAAGATATCGTGAAATTAGTGGCATTGACCCATTGACGATATGAGAGAGAAACAAATAGTGAAAAAAATGAAATACCATTTAGGGGATGGTATTGAATCAGTAAGGTCTCCTAGACGAAACGAGCCCACAATATTTTTAGAGAAGTTTTCGAAAGAACATGCAATTGAAACAATTGTGCATAACCACGACGAATTGGACGCTTCCAGTTTCAGTTTTGGTGCATCAGAGCAACACATTCTAGTAAAAATCTGCCAAACTATCCGAAGTGAGATAAACAAGATGTCATCTGAGTCCGCTTTAAAAAAAAATGAATGTTAGAGACTACAAAATAGTATATTGTGTAGTTAGGTGGAAAAGTGACACATTCTCGGTCGACGGTGTAAGCAAACACCGAAGGCTGAGAATGTGCTTTTCCACCGAAATACACATACTATTTTTTCTGCGATCGGTTAAATATCTGTTAAATGGTTCTTTTTGTTCCAATTATTCAGTAGTACGAGAATCAGTTTCCCGGAAAAGTGATTCCCGTATTGTTATTCATTGATTCCCTAGCAACTATTGAAACATAATTAAAATACCAGAATCTTGAGTTTTGCGGCCTGTCAACCGGTCAAAAATGCTGACATTTCTTCTATGCATTTCTTGTCAATCGCAGAAAAAGTATATTCCTAAAAGCTTATACTATCTTGTTAACCTTATTGTCCGCAATGAAATTGAGAATGAAACGGAGATTGAAACTCTAAGTATATTATTTTCGCCTGCTCGAAGGAAAAAATTAAAACTCCAAAGCACTCTGGCTTAGGACTTTTGGTTCATCAGGAAACAAGGTCATTGAAGCAATACACGCTTGCGGTGATTCAACTTCATACGTCGATACTCTTAGAGTAGGTACGTAACAGAATCAAGGAGAAATTCAACTGTTCTTGGAGAATGAATATGTGACCATACCCAGACAATTGGTACCTGATAGATTCGTTCAATTTGCCGCTGACAACATTGACATTTTGGAAGAGATTTTGGACAAAACCCCTACTTTCCACGGAACCCACAAGGCTGCCTTCCAGAGAGGACCATTTAATGAAAAAATACCTGGGCAATTTAAATTTTTGCCGTATAATCAGAAGCTTGCAATACCTAATGGCTTTCATTCCCTCAACAAAATTCCCTTTGACAAATCAAAAAGAAAAGTACAACCTGAGGAAAATAAACTGGTCATCATAGAGAAGGGCGAAAACCTCAATAATAACGTGAGGTATCGTAATATGGCGTGGTGTATTTTTGTATTTATTTTTTTACGGATATGCGCACTTGCAAGGAAATGTCCTATCACGCTCGAGAAGCGGCAAGTGCGCGGAAATGTCGGTGTATGTTGGTCTTGAAACGGTTCAGGTTGTAACCTGCAGGGAAAACCGTCGCAGGGAGTTTATTCCACAGCGATGCTGTTCTCCAGAGATATGAATTCTCCAGAGATATGAATTCTTATAGAATGAGGGACTCTAGTAGCGATCAAACCATTATTCCGCAGGGGTCAGGATTTCATAAACTGATTTTGGAGGGTGAATCACATGTAACAACCTTTGGCTACTTACCTGTACTACCCCATGTCTCGTCAGAATATGATACCGTTTGGACTGTTATTGTAAAGTGCAGTGAAATTGCTAAGAAGCTAAATAACAGATACCTACACTGTTCTGACATTTGATCAAGCGTTCGATTATAGAGCTAAATAGCTCCAGTGGTTCTAGCCGGAAGACACAAAGAATGTAATTATTCGTCTAGGTGGATTCCACATTGTTATTAACTTCCTCAAAATAATCGGTAATAACCTACTCATTATTACTATGACTACATAAAGACACAGCACAACAGAATACTGTATGTGTTAATATTTTGATAAAAGATAAGCCAAAAAACTCTTAATTTAACACTATTCCGTCATTCTTATAGTCGTGCCTAAAGCGTATTCAGTTTAATGTGAAATGGCCGTTACAAAAAAAATCGACCGTAACAACATCGCCATCAGTAGAGTCGATTTTCGGTTGCCTTTGGCCAAAGACAATACTTTGGCTTGGCATAGGACTCTCGCGCTTCCTCGCATCTCCGCGCTCGCGGCTGTCCGTCGCGACATGCCGTTCGATTTATTTAATTTTCTTCTAAACTAATTGTCCAATCAAAATTTTGAAAAAACCAACATGTTCTCTGATGTTTGGTCTATAACGTTTATAGAAACCCTTTTTTTGATAGACCCAATACTTTTCGAGGTGGAGCGAGTTAAAGGATTTCAAAAATATGGGTTTTCAGGGCAAGCGATTTTGTGTGAAGGCGCTCCATATACAACAATGGTGCAACGTATTTATATAAATTAAAAAAAAATCTTTCTAATGTCCGGATTGATATGCAAATTTCAGAAATTAATTCTCTGAAATCTTAGATCCGAAAAATGATGAAAAAACCTCCCCACCACTCCCCTCCCACTACGATTTTTTGACGACCAGGTGATTTTGCATTGCAACGGTGTTAGGAATAATAAAAAATAGGTTTTACATTTTAGCAACAAAGTTCCGACGAAAATCTGTTCTAGAAGCCTTTTGCCAGTCCATTTACTCTACTAGAATATCTTTCCCTGAATCATCACGACGTTTTCATCCGCATATTGAAGTTCAATTATCGATGTCGTCGATACTTTCGTATTGCGTCGTAATCTGTTTAGGTTGAATAAGCCGCCATCAAGCCTGTACAGGATTTCCACTTCTGACGGCAGGTGAACCTCATCTCGTGCAAGTAATAATTTAGTACCAAAAAAAAAAAATATTTATTCAACTTTCTTGCCTCTAATTTCATCATTATCCTTTTCAATTAGGCTCGCAAATATAGTTCCTATCGCTTTTTCGGGTATTAGCGAACTCTCAGCACTTGTTAAACAACTGCAAACTCTACAGAATTTCTGTTCGTCACAGTCGATCTTGTTTTTGCTTTATTCTCTTTAGGTAAAGTTTTTTTCATCGCATACTCATTATCGATACTCTATAAACGATCGGGAATGTGTTTTTGGTGGCGTTGTTATTCATGTTGAAACATATTTATGTTTATTAGCACGAATGTTGTTTGAGAAAACATATACCTCTACGGTGCACATTAATTTCACTTTTAACCGCATACAAATTGGGTAAATGCAGAAACTTTGCTTGACAAAAATATTTGTTTATTCGCAAAAACAAACGCCTTAATTTAAATTGTTTGTTTTTCATTTTATTTTCAATTTACTACACAAATACAATAAAATAAAGGTAAACAACAAAGTTGCGACAGTGGCCACAATTTTACCAGCTGATCCAGAAAATAATTTTTCTCCGGGGGTTCCAAAAATGGGCGTACAATTTTCAAGTTTTGTTTCTCTTTCCCCTCAGCGACTGTAGGGAAATAATTTGCGTTGTTAAAAATTTAAATATCACAATTTTTTTTTTTAACCAATTATTGTTTTTTCAGGCCCAAGAGTGGTTCGATGCTTTTGTACAGTAGGAAAAAAGTACGTTATCGTCGAGATGGATATTGCTGGAAAAAAAGAAAAGATGGCAAAACTACAAGAGAAGATCACATGAAGTTGAAGGTTCAGGGAACAGAGGTAAATTTTTATAATTTATTTCATAAATTTTCCCCAACAACACATCATGTGAAGTGGGTAGTTACCTAATTGAATTTATCGCCTTTCCGATTGCCTGAATATATTCCCAGGAAATAAAATAAATTTTCCCGGCCACCGACCATTTCCACTCGTTTCATTCAGAAAAAAGTTACGGGCCGAGCGAAGAGAAGGGCGTGTAAAGCGAAAAATAATATTTGTTTCGCCCGCGAAACTAAATCCGGTTTATTTCCTTTTTTCGTGGCTCGGCGCCGTTAAGACGGGGTAATTGTTTGGGTTAATTAAGCGGCGTTTAAAAAACATTAATCTTAGCTCAAATTGCGCAGATTTCGGATATTACAATGGTTTCAGAAAAAGAAGCGCCACAAAAGGGCGCGAAGCGCGGAAAGACTATTTAAAGGCTTTTTTCCATGCATTAATGTTTAATGGATGAAGATAAAGTGAAACAGGTGATACTTTTTTTCCTTTTTTTAAATGAGCTTAAATAAACTTGACCGTATTAAGGTTAGTGAATTACTTAGAAAACTCTTAAAGTCATGAAACTGCATTAACTTTTTACGAGGGTGTATATGAGTTTTACTATGCACTCGACAAGACAATAATTCTATTTAACTTGCTTAAATTTTAATGGCAACAGTTCAGACTGACAGCAAGGCAGGTTTGGGAATATATTCTTGGGAACATCTTATAAAATTTCAAAGTAGCTACAATTTTATTGATGATATTTATTTTCAAATTCATCTCACAAATTTGTATTCCTAGGTAGTCTAGGAAAATAGTCGAAAAATACATGCATTGCAAAAAAAAAATCCTACCCAAATGAACTTTTCAGGGATGATAGGGGGCGGGTGGGTGATCATAAAACCGGAAATATCAAACATTCACCCCTCTGGCGTTTTGCGCTATAGGGGTTGAAAGTGCGCCATTGGCGATTACTTGGTACCTATTGATTTTACAAAAAAATGTTTCAAATAAAAGATGTGCAACATTATTTCGTCGTTAGTTTCACAAAGTGACGTATCTCAAATCAAAGTTCCCTTGAGATACGTCACTTTGTGAAATTAACGACGATTTGATCTACAATGTTTATCTGAAGACGTTTTTGATTAAGGGCCGTCTGTGGTCATAAGGGCCGTTTGAAATTTTATAATGAAAATGAAAAATTGTAACCAACGTGAAAAAATTTTCTACAACACATACAACATTTTTGCTTTATGAAGTTTTTACTCACCCCCTGCCATTTTTCAATAGGGGTAGTTTAAAGTTTTTTTATTTTTCTACAAAAAAATTTTCTTGATAAAAGTTTTATAAGATTACATTTCCTACAATTTTTTCTTATAAACTTTTTTTAGAACTCACCCCTATTCCAGCGGGGGGACACTTCCTTTGGGAAAATTTTAGTTTTTAGGGGTATATAATATTTTTTTTTTTTTCTTTTCTCGCCTTTAGTGCATATAAAAAGTTGCAATTAACATTGTATTAAAAGGATTTTTTTTCCACCACCTTTTTGTTTTTAGGGGTAGTTCGCCTATTTTTAACTTTACAAAAAAAAATTATAAAGAAAAGGTGTTCAAAAAAATAAAATGAACAAGTATTCTCAATAAATTTTTTTTGTAAAGTTGAAAATAGGCGAACTACCCCTAAAAACAAAAAGGTGGTAGGAAAAAAATCCTTTCAATACAATGTTAATTGCAACTATTTATATACACTAAAGGCGAGAAAAGAAAAAAAAAATTAATATATACCCCTAAAAACTAAAATTTTCCTAAGGGAAGTGTCCCCCCGCTGAATGGGGGTGAGTTCTAAAAAAAGTTTATAAGAAAAAATTGTAGGAAATGTAATCTTATAAAACTTTTATCAAGAAAATTTTTTTGTAGAAAAATAAAAAAACTTTAAACTACCCCTATTGAAAAACGGCAGGGGGTGAGTAAAAACTTCATAAAGCAAAAATGTTGTATGTGTTGTAGAAAATTTTTTCACGTTGGTTACAATTTTTCATTTTCATTATAAAATTTCAAACGGCCCTTATGACCACAGACAGCCCTTAATCAAAAAAGTCTTCAGATAAACATTGTAGATCAAATAATGTTGCACATCTTTTATTTGAAACATTTTTTTGTAAAATCAATAGGTACCAAGTAATCGCCAATGGCGCACTTTCAACCCCTATAGCGCAAAACGCCACAGGGGTAAATGTTTGATATTTTCGGTTTTATGATCACCCACCCGCCCCCTATCATCTCTGAAAAGTTCATTTGGGTAGGAATTTTTTTTTTGAAAATCGACAATTTTCCTAGACTAAGGTAAGTATCAAACAACTTTGAGCCGTCTTGAGAATGATATTAGTAATACTTGAGTTTATAATATCAACATGTACACCTCCTTTTGAACGCTAATTTTTAAGTAAATTTAATATTACCTCGATTTTTTTTCAAAACAGTAAACGGAGGCGTGGTTATTTTTATCTCAACCTAATTATCGGCGTTGTTCGCCCTTAACAAAAGAGTGTGCTAATCTTAATTTCATTATCTTTTAAATTTTCACGGTGCGTGCCCTTTTTTTTGGGGAAACCAAAAGACAAAGTTGGTTTTAATGGCCTCAACTAATTAAAAGAACATTTAGATGAAGTGTGTCTGAACTTTTTGGACTCTTTGTGGGTTTTATTGTTTAACTTTCTAATGGGCCATCTTGTCATTAAATGTTAATTCTTTTAGGACATCCCGGTATTATGGTAACATTTTTATCTCGCTGTCGAACTTAATTAAAACGAATCGAGAAAACATCGTAAAAATCCGTCCAAGTTCTTGGCCAGTTCAAATAAAGTTGCCAACTAACCTGTTCGAAAATAAAACGTGTAAGAGTTTAAATAGAGACCTTTTTCAAAGAGCTCGTCGTGCCATTTTACAACAGAAATTGGAAAAACTGCCCTATCAATTGAATTTGTCTAATGTGAGGCGGCTCCGAATAAAACCTTTTACCACCCTCGGATCCATCTATAAAGATAAAATGTTCCTCTTTAATTCGGTTTAATTCAACTGAGTCTGAATGGTTACATTTTCTCTTGGACTAAAGGTCTAAAGCTCTGAATTCAGTCATTTTGGAGTTCGAGTGGATGGCGGCGAGGATTTCGAATAAGAGCGACGTTATCGAACGCTCTAATTAATGGTAATCTTAAGCGAAAAACTTCAATAAGAGGATTTTTATACACGCCGTTTCGGAACGGGTCGAACAAATTTATGTTATTTTATTAGATCTTTAGAAATTTGTACAGCTCTTCTACCTTCCGGACAGTAAAAAGGGCCCTCTTTTTGCTCAAAACTACTAGAAACTAGAAACATTTTTGTGACATAAAATGTTTGAACAAAATCCTAAAAACTTGTATTCTCTAATGGAAGGCTTATTGCAGTGGCGCACCTCTTTCAAAACCTTTGTGGGTAAAGAAGCTAAATAAAAATTAAAAATATAAGGCCCTACAACTTTCTTGTTAGTTATTAGAGATAATAGAGATACCTAACACCTATTTTTGTATCGGTAAGTTGTGTGGTTTAATAATTTTTAAAAAATATTTGAATCACAATAATGAAGCGTGCCAGGAATTTTTTGATCCTTCCGCATGATCAAACTTTCTTCTAGATTGAAGGCTCTTTGATGATGGCCCTTTTTCTATAAATGGCAATTTATATTTTAAGCTAGGTAATGTCATAAGATTTACTTTATTTAATTACTTTCAAGGGTCTCATGACAAAATAGACGCGTAGCTCACGAGAACTATTGCCTGAAATCAGATCGTCGCCTACGAGTTGAGGTAGGTCAAGGATAATGACGGGTTCATTCAAAACTCTCTAACTTATCCTACTGATATCCTCGGTTCTTTGATCTTTCTTCATCTATTCAAAGAGAAATGTTTGGTAGCTTCATACCTCAGCGCATGGACTAAGGTTTTGGCTAAGGTGCTATGCCCTCTCACTCTTAGCGCTTTTGGAGATTTGTATTTCTTACTCTACTCCATTATTGAAGTACTGGATCATATTTTGTTCAATGAAGTCTTCGGGTGCTCATGACTATACCAACCGGACTTTTTGTAACTAGTGAATTTCTGCACCGTCTCAGATAGGCTTTGCACTATCTTTTCAGCTGGCTCTGATACACTCCACTAAAATACATGTTTCCATACCTCAGTTCTAAGGCGTCTACAACAGCTACGTATCACTATCTTTCATCTCAGGAATACTCTGAAGAATTTCTAGTGCTTTTTCTTATAATGGCACTACCCAAAATTTTGGATTAGGAGCGGTCTCAAGCTATCGCTCATCATGGACCAGGATGTTTCGCCGTCGAAAGCTAGTGGTTTCAGTTGACTGGCATTCACTTTGCCGCCACCTTCGTTATTGGCTTCATCGCGTGTTTTCTCCATCTCCTCCAGTTCTCTACATTTCTGTTCGAATCCTACGGGAACCCTTTCTATTTTGTCTATGACATCTTCTTTGACGGTTTCTATTTCGTCTTAGACGTCTTGTCGAATGTTCGGGAACAATCTTGCGATTCTGCCAATATCTTTCTGTCTTCGTTCTTGCTATTTTTGTAGATTATCTGGAGCACCTTCTTCTTCCTTCTTCTTCTATCTGTCTTCTTGAACTTGCATAACTTTCGGCGGGAACGGTCCTGTTCTCATTGTTTTTCTTTTTGTAGTCTGTCTTCTTCTTCCCATGTTTTTTTTTTCTGTCGGCTGTCTTCTTTCTGATTTTTTTTCTGTCGCTTTCTGCTTTCTTTCAATTTTTTCTTGTCCACAAATTTCAATAAACCGGGCATCTGGTTAATTTGATCATTTATTTCGGCGCTCTCTGGCTGCGTTTTCGCCATATACGGAAATGTTCTTATATTGTTGCGTAACTATGCAGGTTCGCAGAACAGTGCGAGACTATTCCTCCAAACTTAAACAAACTTTGCTGGAAACAATGACATGAAAATCACGACAAAATTAG